GCTGGGAAACAGGGTGGTGTGTTGAAATGGCAGGCAACTGGAAGTTCAGGGTCTTTTTTGCATACAGAATGTAGGTGTTCTGTCTCAGGCTTGCTGCAGTGCTCCAGCGAAGCTCAGCACAGGCTGGAAGAAAAGCACTTCATTTTCCAGTGGCTTCGGAAGGGAACTTGCAGGTGGTGGTGTTCCCCTGTATTTGCAACCATTGTTCCTCTCGACAGAAGTGATTGAGTTCGAAAGATGCTGTTGAATGAGCCTTAATGTTCTGCAGTGCATCTTGTAGATGGTATACATTGTTGCTGCTAAGTCACAGTTGTGGAGGTAGAGAATGTTTGTAGAGGTGTTGCCATCCATAACTTTTAACTAACCTCTGAAATAGCCCTAGCAAGCTATTCAGATCAAGGGGATTTAGAGATGACCAATAAATGCTGGCCTAGCGAGTGACACCGACATCCCATGATAATAAAAAAAAATGGGCTGCTTTGACCTGAATGGTGCCGATCTTCTTGAGTGTTCTTGAATCTGCATTAATTTAAGCAAGTGGAGAGTAGTCCATCACACTCCTGACTTGCTCCTTGTAAATGGTAGACAGGCTTTGAGGAGTCTGGAGACGGGTCACCCATTGCAAGCTTCCTGATCTGATGTGTTCTTATAGCTGCTGTAAATGGCTAATCCAGTTCAGTTTCTGATCAGTTGTAACCCATAGGATTCACAACACAATACAACGCAGGAGATTAATTGATGGTAATGCCATTGAATGTCAAGTCATTAGTTAGATTCTCCCTTATTAGAGACGGTCATTGCCTGCCATTTATATGGCATGAATATTATTTGCCATTTTTTAGCCCAAATCTAGATATTGTCCAGGTCTTGCAGTTGGACATGGTTTGTTTCAATATCTGAAGAGTTGCAAATGATGCTGAACATTGTGCAATGATCAGCGAACATCCCCACTTCTGATCTTATGACGGAGGGAAGTTTAGTCATGAGCAGCTGAAGGTGGTTGGGCCAAGGACACTATCTTAAGACTGCAGAGACGGTCTGGAACTGGATAAATGACCTCCAACAACCACGATCATCTTCCCTTGTGCCAGGTATGACTGCAACCAGTGGCTTTTTCTTCGTCATTCTCAATGACTCGAGACCAGGGCTCCTCATTGCCACACATGGTTAAATGCAGCCTTAACATCAGGTGTAATCACTCACATCATCTCTAAAATTAAGCTTTTTCATCCATTTAGAACCAAGGCTGTAATGAGGTCAGGAGCTCAGTGGCCCTGGTGGAACCCAAACTGAGCATGAGTGAGCAGGTTACTGTGAAGCAAATACAGTTTGATAGCACCGTTTGTCACTTTACGAACAATCGAGAGTTGGCTCATGGAAGCACTAATTGGTCAGGTTGAATTTTCCCTGCTTTTTGTGGACAGGACACCCTGGGCAATTTTCTATATTGTCAAGTAGATACCAGTGTTGTAGATGCACTGGAACAGCTTGGCAAAGAGCGTGGCAAGATCTGGAACATGACTTTAGTACTATTGCCAGAATTGTGTTAGGGCCCATTGCCGTATCTGGCATCGCTGTTTCTTGATATCGCACTGAGTGATTGAGTTGGCTGAAAACTGGCATCTGTGATGCTGGGGACTTCTAGAGAAGGCCAAGATTAATCATCCACTTCCAGCTAAAGTGTTTACTTTGAACTGTTGTAAATGCTTCAGCCCTATCTTTTGCACCAATGTGGTGGCCCATCCCAACTTGATGCAAAGTATTCTCAACATGAAATCAGGACTTCACCTGCACAAGGACTATGTGGCAGTCACTCTCACTGATGCTGTCATGGATGGATGCACCTAGAGCAGGTAGATTCGTGAGGATGAAGTTAAGTATGTTTTTCCCTCTTATTGGTTCCCTCACCATGTGCTGCAGACCTAGTTAGCAGCAATGTTTTTTAGGACTTGACCAATTCAATCAGTAGTGCTGCTGCTGAGCCAGACTTGGTGGTGGACACTGAAGTGCCTTATCCAGAGTACATTTTGCACCCTTGCTTACCCTCAGTGTTTCAATGTGCATAAGTAATGATTCGTCAGCAGATTTCCTTGCCCACATTTCAGCTGGTGCCATGAGACTTCATAGTGTCTGAAGTCAATGTTGAGAACTTCTATGGCAACTCCCTCTTGAGTGTATACCACTACAGTGCCAGCTGTGCTGGATTTGTCCTGCTGATGGTAGTATCTGGGACATTGTAAAGTATGAGTTCATGACAACGTCAGGCTTGACAAGTCTGTGAGACAAGTCAATTTTGACACTAGCCCCCCGATGTTACGAAGAAGGACTTTGCAGGGTTGACAGGGCCGTGTTTGCCGTCATCGTTTCCAGTGTCGAAGTCAATGCTAAAGGTTTCATTCTTTTTGCAAGATCTTCTAGGAACTGTTACAACTGAGTGGCCATTTCAGAGGGTCGTTTAAGAGTCTCCAAATGTAGACCAGATCACCTAAAGACAGCAGTTTCCTTTCTTAAAGGAAATGAATGAACCAGATGGGTTCTTCTGACATCCAACATAATCATTAGACTGCTAATTCCAGATTTTTATCAGATTCCACCTGCTTAGGTGGATTCAAACCTAAGTCTCCAGAAAATTACCTGGATCTTTGGATTAATAGTCTAGTGATAATACCACCACATAAATTCCGCACAAAACATAGATCAGTACAGCAGAGGAACAGGCCCTTCGGCCTATCATGTGCCAACCACAATGCCACTCTAAACTAATCCCATTTGCCTGCACATGGTCCATATTCCCTCTATTCCTTGCCTGTTCACATGTCTGTCTTAATGCCTCTTAAACGTTCTGTCAGATCTGTTTCTACCAGCTCCCCTTGCAGCGCGTTCCATGCATCTACCACCCTGTGTGTATAAAAAAAAAACTTGCCTCGCACATCTCCTTTAAACTTTTCCCCTCTCACCTTAAACTTATGGTCCCTAGTATTTGACATTTCCACCCTGGGAAAAAACACAGACTATCCATCCTATCCACGTCCCTCATAATTTTGTATCCTTCTATCAAGTCGCCCTTCAGCCTCTGAAAACTAGCGAAAACAATCCAAGTTTGTTCAAATTCTCCATATAGCCAAAACATTCCAATCCAGGCAACATCCAGGTAAACCTCTTTTGCACCCTCTCCAAAGCCTCCAACTCCTTGCTGTAATGTGGCAACCAGAACTGCACACAATACTCCAAAGGTGGCCTCAAGTCATATACAGCTCCCCAAACATTAACTCTGTTTCTCTCTTTACAGACCTGCTGAATATGTACAGCACTTTTTTAAAAATTTGATTGCCAAGGTCTGTTGTATTTTGTTTTTACACTTACCTTTGACTTTGTTGTCCTTGTCCGTTCTTATCTATGGTGTGACTGCTATTTCCCAATAGTTCTTCTACTTTCACAACAGTTATTGATCCATAAACTAAATGAAGCAATGTTTCTTCCCCTTGACAACTAAAACAAACTCCTCAAAAGGAACCACAGTTTATAATAATAATAATTCCATTCTGTCCTTGGATGGTTAAAACGACCCACTAGCATCTTCTTGTTTTTGCATCTTTCTTGGAAATATCTACCCAACCTCATTGATACCCTGGACTGCTTACTGACTCTCACACTATTCCTATTTCTTGATTCTATCCATATGGATTCTGTCTTAATGACTCCCTTCCCTGTATCCCAGAACATTGTTTTGGAACTGTAAGAAAATCCTTCGCTGATGCTTGATCCTTCTAGAATGTTTTTTTAAAAAACTCACTGCATATCCTTCACCACTTCAGTTAATCCAGTTGACAGCTTCATGTCAAAGCTTTCACTGTCTAATCTCAGACCCATAACTTTGCCTACTCTGGCATACTCCTGTTCTATTTACATTTTACGTATGAGTATTAAACTACTTGGGTTCAGATTAAGGTGGAACAACATGGGAATATGGCGTTAAGATAAAGGATCAGTTATGATAATCTTGAATAGCAGAGCAGACTTGATGGACTGAAAGTCCTCCACCTGCTCCTTTTTTATAAATGTTTGAAATGTATAACTTCTACAAATCTCTCCAATACCTGAAGAATTTGACTATTGCCCTCCAGCTCCCATTGGTCTTCCCAGAGATGCTATTTTTATTACAGTGTCTAATTCCTTCAAATTCCATCGGCACTCTCAAATGTACATCCTTCTGTATCATTGGTTCGAGTATTGACCTGTGCTTTCAGTTGTGCTCATGCTCGCTCTACCATGTGTTCATCAATAATACAAAAATAATCACATTGATTTTGAATGAAACATCATAAAATAGCCCAGTGTAACCAACAGTAAATCATATAATTACTGAAATTTGTGTCAATTTCATGTTATAATGGGGACTTTGTCCAAGTATCGTTTTGTGATTTGGTTTGAGAGATCGACTGGGGAGGGTGGTTATGATAATATTAATTTTGTGGCCACAGCATCACTATTCATTCTTAATTTTCTTTGTGTGTTATAACGTCATTTCATATAGTGCAGTAATAGGCCAAACAGTCTGAGTCAACACTTAACCTCCATTGGAGCAAACAATTTCAGTTACAAACATTAACATGGTTTCCGTCTCCCTTCGTCTTTTCCTTCAACTATCTAATCCGATACTGAATATTAACAATTTCTGCCTCGATCATTACCTCTGGAGTTAAAGTCAACAACCTTATGACTCTGTAAAGTTTCTACTGCTCTCTCTTCTAAATCATCTTATATCAATGGCCTCTCATTCCTGAAAGCTCAAACATTGTAAACAGTTTGCTTCTATTTGTCTTGTTGCCCTGTTTTCTGTGTTGATCTAATGAGAAGGCCGTTCTAGTTTCTATTCTTCTAAGATTTATTATACCAAATTCTAAAATGTTAAGACATAAATTATAGACACAATACTTGATCTATGTGTTTGTTTCACACTGAAACTCTTGGGTAGTTCACAGATTCAGTGTAATCTCTCTAATACCGTCTGCTAAGTGACTTCAAATTAAAATATGTAAAGATTAAACAATCTAATTTCACATCCTGTTCTTCATTCTGTTATCGCACACCTTCTGTGTTTTATTAGAGAGTTAAACTCAGTTTTCTCATTGAATTTTATTTGCAAGAATGAATTATAGATTAATAAAATATAACATTTGAAGAAACTGTGTCTGGATTGTCAAATGATCTGTTAATCACTGGTATTTTTGCAAGGATTGAATCATCTCTTCTGCTACGTATTTCAATATCTATAAGCAATTTTAGCAGTGCTGTTGCATTGTATGGAAAAAGATTTCTTCTCTGCAAACGGCTAATGATTTTTCTCAATTCAGTCAAACAACTCATTGATTTGTTGAATATTTTTTCCAGGGACATTTTTGTGTTGTTTTCACAACTATGTGAATTTATATCTCTTGGGTTTCTTTCAACATTTTTGCTTCTTATTGTTTCTGGAGCTTGTTTCACTGTTTCACCACTTGTGAATGTGTTATTCATTACAATACTCTGATTGATCTCCAGGCTGAGGATATTTAAGCTGGAAGCTTCCATTACTTCATTGTCTGAGTCCTCAGAACTTTCATAATCCACTAGACTTTGGGGCTGCTTACGTGGCCAGGGCATATTGCTGCTCATCAGACATCCTGTGTTGCTGCTTTTCCCAGTGTCTACATGGTTTCTTGGGTCCCTCACAGGTGTGAGAAAGTGCGGTGCTTTGGGATTTACAATTGCTTCTTTTGAGTTTTCAGTGACAATTTGATTGTTGGTCCTGTCTTGTTCTACACCAGGAGTGAAATTGAAGTTGACACAGACTTCGTTTATTTCAGAGGAACAAAATGACTCAGCAGCAGCTGTGTCAAACCGAGCACAAATGCAGCAGAAGGGCTGCCAGTCCTCTTGAAGAAATCGCAGATATCTCACTAAATACTCCAGGAAGCAGGTTTCAGAGGAAATCAGGAAGTCCAGCAGGACAGAATGATCAAATGCTAAACTCTGTAACATCAGGAGAAAGATACAGTGGGGATTGAAGCAATGTTCACATGCTTCGCAAGAATTGTTTGCCTTTTCCTGAGGATAGATATCCAAAGATCTGTGGAGAAATAAAACAGCTCTAAATGCCTTGTAACTGAAGTAGTAATCAATTTAAAGCAACTGGTTGAAATCTTGTGATACCCTAAACTCTAAATATACCAAACAACAGTGGACAAGGTTGACTGAAATACTGGAACGGGCTCATTGGATAGCTGAGTGGATAAGCAGATTTCATTGTATAGTCCTGGATTGCAGCTCAAGTTAGCTGATGGGATGAACTAGCTGTGAAGTAATGAAATAGGCTTCCAACACACATAATGGAGAAGGATACATGCTAAGTGCATTGCTGCACAGAGAAACCAATGGGAAAGCACCCTGGTGCAGACACAAGCTGAAAGGAGAATTTGATTTGAGTCCGATGCCTCTTGCACTGTGAATCACTGTGTAGGATCACACTGGAATTAGCAACTGTTTCAGGGTGGGGACAGAAAATTAGCAAGGTGGCCAGCACACAAGTTTTATTGATGCAAATAGAGGGAGAAATGGAGGAATAGATGTTAAAAAGAGATATACAGCCTGCAAACAGTGTGTGCAAGATAGAGGGGGAGACACACATGATTGGAAAGGGAAGGGATAAGATGAGAGTACACTAGATGGACTGTGATATTAATTATTTTCATGCTTTTGGATTTATTTGGAACAACAGAATCATTTGGTTGATTTTGAAAGAGAAAATGTAAGACTGAGATCCTGAGAATAAAAACCAACAACTTATATTGCTGTGCTAAAAAAACAGGAAAGACAATGTTGCAGCTAGTTTGTTTAAACAGAGCTGATGTGGTGTTGATTTAACAGACTGGATGCCTTGTTGAACATTTCTCTGAAACACGATAACCACAACCTTCAGAGAGGTAGATGTGCTGTGTTCAGTTTTGGTCTCCTTATCCAAGGATATCACAAGTGTTATGGCACAGAAGGAGACCATTTGATTCATCATATCTGCACTGGCTTTTCGAATAATTACCTACTGCCATTCATCTGCTTTCTTCTTATACCTTGGACATAATTTCATTCCAAATAATCATCCAATACCTTCATGAATGCCTCTTGTGAACTTGCCTCCACCACATTTCCAGGCAGTGCATTCCAAACCCTAACTACTTGGTTCATGAAAAAGACTTTTCTCACCTCATGGTTGCTTATTTTGCAAATCACCTTAAATCTGTACCCTCTAATTCTTGATCCTTTTACAAGCAGGAAGAATTTGTCCCCCATCTACTCTATCCAGCCTCTCATGATTTTGAAAACCTTTATCAGATGCCCTCTTAGCTGCCTTCTCTCCAAGAACAGTCCCAACTTCTTTAAGCTATCCTCATAACTTAAGTTTCTCATCTCTGGGACCATTCTGGTAAATCATTTCTGCATTCTCTCCAATGGATTCACAACCTTCTGATACCATAGTGCCCAGAACTACACACAATACTCCAGGTGAAGTCTAACAAGTTCAACATGACCACCTTGCTCTTGTATTTTATGCCCTTACTAATAAAGCCAAGGATACTCTCTCGACAAGTCCTGCAAGCTTCAGTTATCATTGCACACATACACACAGGTTCCTGCACTCCCTTTAGAATTGTACCACTATTTAATGTTGTTTTTTAACGTTCTTCATCCCAAAATGCATTCATTCACAGCTGCACATATTGCACCAAATATTCACTGAACCAGTTTCCTAGGAGGAAGGGATTGTCCAAAGAGAGGAGACTAGACCTATATTCTCCTGTTTCGGAGAAGCGATCTAATTGAAACATGAAAAATCCTTACAGAGTAGACGCTGAAAAAATGTTTTTCTTAGCTGGAGAATTGAGAAGAGTCGTACACAAAAGGATCATTAGTCCTTCAGATGATCTATGGGTTGGGTCCAAAATGTAAATCACTGAAACTGGTAGTTGGTGAGGACAGTTTCACAGATTTTTGCTTTTTCAACAGTCCATGTTTCCTGGACTTGCAACGTAGCTCAAAACACCTGCTGCTATTCACAACAACAAACAACTGCGAGATCAGAGTTTCATAACTTGTGGGGCATTAAAGAAAGAGGAAGAACTGGCTGAACATGGAACTTGACAAAAGACTGAAGCTTTTCAGCTTGAAGTCAGGCATCACCTCATTGGTATTTCATTAAAAGCAGTGACATCCTCCCATTTATGCCGATGAGTCTTTTTGTGGTAGTGAGTGAGAGCAGGTGGTGTAGGAGCAGTAGACGGATCAGGAAATACTTGATACACGGGTTCTTTCATCTACTGTAAATGAAAACATTTGAGAATCTCTAATCCAACAGCGCAGTGTCCAGAGTAAGGGGTCAGGAAAAGCAGAAATTTCTTCACTCAAATAACACAATAACCTGTATCAACATGGAATTCTTTTTTGAAAAAAATTTATAAAGGTGCTTATGCACTCACAGGAGCACTGTGAAACAAAATATGACACAGAGCCATACTGCCATCTCTTAATTACAGGATCACTTTTATTCAGGGTCACAAGTTTCTGCCACTGGTCTTCATGACTGATTCACATAAGGACGAGACCAAAAGATTGCTCAAAGTGGCAAGTTTTAAGATCAGTCTTCAAAAGAAAACAAAAGTAAGGTACAGAAATGTAGAGACACGGAATTCCAGAGAATGGGACTTAGGAAACTGAAACCATGACCACTAATAATAGAGCAATTGTCATGATGAATGACCAGAAGCCTAAATTAAAGGATGACTGTGCAGTTGAAGATTACAGAAGGTAAAAAGGAACAAGTCTATGGAGACATTTGAAGACAAGGATAAGAATTTCAATATTATCATGTTGCTGGATTGGGAACCAGTGAAAGTCAGCAAGCACAGGGCTGATAGGGGAATGGGATTTCTTCTGAGTCAAGACATGGGCAGCAGAGCTTTGGATGACCTCAAGTTTTACAGAGGGTAGGTGTAGGAGACTGGCCAGGAACAGTCATGACTTGAGATAACAAAGGCAAGGATGAAATTTTCTACAGGCTTATAAAATCTTGGGAATTCTCCAAACCAAAAAGCTGTTGACGCTCATTTGTTTAGTATTATCAGATCTGAAGTTGTCTTGATCATTAGATATGAAAGGAATAAAAGGATATTGGAATAGGATGGGAACGGGGAGTGATGTTAGATTAACCATGATTCTGATAAATGGCAGACCAGCTGAAAAAGGACTAAATAACTTCTATTCCTCATGTTCTTGAACAAACACATATATCTCTAACAAGAATCAGTTCTACAGAGGAATTGAGAAGAATATTAAATTGCAGACTCTGTTTGTATCCCACTTAAACAATTCAATCAAAATACAAGCGTTACTAACCTGTAGCAACTTGTATAGATGGTTAGTAGTGCTCTGGCAGCTTCCACCATATCATCATCCTGCTCACCAAAAACCAGCGAAACCAAAACACATGGATGCGAGAGCTGTTGGGAACGTACAGGGCATTGGAAATGCATCCTCAGAAATGTCATCAATTGCGATACACAAGGTTGGAGCTCAGCTCTTAGACAGCCTAGAAACAGCATGTACAGTCAATACATCCTCAAGATTTGAGCTTTTGAACATGAAATGTAGAATGTCCAGGTGACTAGTATGAATTACAGAATTATGGGGTAAGAAGTTCCACATTCATAAGGTGAATCGAATTTGAAGATGCACTCCTATGTGACTTTGGACAGTACACAACCAATAGGTTTAACTACAAACTTCAGCACAGTACTTAATCACTTGATCTCTATTGGGCAGCACGGCAGCTGGGTGCTTAGCACTGCTGCCTCAAAGTGTCAGGGAATTTGGTTTGATTGCAGCCTCAGATGACTGTCTACTTGGAGTTTGCAAGTTCTCCTCCTGTCTGCGTGGTTTTCCTCCGGGTGCTCTGGTTTTCTTCCACAGTCCAAAGATGTATAGGTTAGGTGGACTGGCAGTGCTAAACTGCCCATAGTGTCCAAGGATGTGTAGGTTAGGTGGATTAGCCATGGGAAATGCCAGGGTTATAGGAAAAGCGTCTGGGTGGAATTCTCTTTGGAGAGTCGGTGTGGACTTGTTGGGCTGAATGGCCTGCTTCCACACCGTAGGGATTCTATGAAGTTCAGTACCCTATCCCTGTAACCCTGCATTTCCATGGCTAACCCACCTAGCCTGCACATCCCTGGACACTATGGGCAATTTAGCATGGCCAATCCATCTGACCTGCACATCTCTTATATTGAAAAATACTGAGTTTCACTGGCAGAAAAGTACTGAGACGGAGGGAGGCCAAGATTAAATGATAAAAGACTTATTCAAAAGAAAATTTTAAAACAGTTTTGAAAATTGAAGCAGAAACAATTTGCATTTATATAAGACATTTAGTGTAGTTAAACAATGCAGTTTTGTAGCAGTATCAAATAATATTCAACACGAAGCCACTCAAGATGATATTTGAACAACTTAGTCAAAGAAATAGATTTTAAAGAAGTGCTTTAAAGAAGGAAAGGTGAATTGATAGATGTAAGAAAAAGTAGGCCATTCTGTCCCTCAAGCCTTCGTATGTTTGGGTATGATCATGGCTGATCATTCACCTCAACTCACTTTCCAGCCTGGGCAAGAGGTTTTGGTGGGGATAGGGGATCTTAGGGCCCAGAGAGCTAAAGATATGGCCACTAATACTTTAAAATTAGAGTTGTGGAAGATACCTGAAATTGAGGAGTGCAGAGATCTTGAGGGGTGTAGAACTGAGAATAGGTTCCAAAGATAGGAAAGGACTTGAAAACATGATAACAAATGGCTAGTAGACAGTCAGAGGAGCAGATACAAGAGCAGTTTTAAGATTCTGAACATTGACTTTGGTGCTGACATGCTCTTGATTAGTGGCAGCTGAAAATTCATTGATTGGCAGTACCAAGTGCAAGTAGATTACTCAGATATAATTTGTAAAATTGTTTCAGGTCATCTTGAAGCCTTCCATATGCTTTAGAAATGATAATTTTCCTCTTCCACTTATTCTGCAGATGTGTCAGACTCCAACACGTACTGAATAATTGTAAACAGACTTTAATGTTTTAACAAAGATCTGTAGCTCGGGCTATGGTTGGAGTTGTTGGTTGGTTTGTCGAGCTGACTGGTTTTCATGCAACATGCACTAAAACTGTCAGCTCGGCGAACCAACCAACAACTACAGGCTTTACCACACAAGTCTAGTTAACTAATTAAATTTTAAATGAATGATTACCTTGTTCTGTGACACCAAAGGTCCTGTTTTGCACCTTAGTCTCCATGGCTTTAATTAGAATGAGACATACAGCCCTTATCATCACTAGGTCTGGTCCAAAGTTAGAATCTGCAACACCAACCATCTCATTGCCTCCAAAGAAACATGGCTTGGGACTAACAGGAAGTTTTCTGAACTGAGCTGACACCAAAGCTTGTAACACTGCATTTGATACAGCCAGTAAGTCATGCTGCATATGGCTATCTCGCTCAGTTGTTGCACAAGAGGAATCATTCACATTATCTTCACCAGCATGGCAAAGAACACATTGTTTTAGCAGCAAAAGCAGCCTCTTTTTAACTATGTAATGAGCAGAGGAAACGACATGCTGTAGTAATTGTGAGGTACGCAGGTATAATATCCTCAGGCAAGAGAAATTTAATTTCAGCTGGATTCTAATAGTAACAAAAATTTTAAGTAAATCTACAAATACAAGTTGATTGGTCGTGGCAATGTTCTCGGTATCAGGTGCTGCTGTGGCTCCACTTGTTTGGCAGTCACCAGAATATGAAGTAAACATCAAGGAGTACAAATCACCAAACACAGAGTCCATTGGAGTCAAGAACTTCTCTATGGTCACTGCAAAGAAAGGACAAATTTCCAACGTTAGATTAAAAAATCTGAGGGATGGTCTGTGTTTATGGATGAAGCCATAACAAATACTGTCAATTGCACATCCAAGTAAAATTAAACATACAAATTATTTAATTACAACACCAGATAAATAAATAAATATTCAGTCAAACAAAACCTCCCTGCAAGAACAAGAACTGCTGCAGGAGAAAACTCATAATGAGCTCACCATCTTTCATGGTTTATTATTTTTGGACTACAGTGGCTATAATAATGACAATAGCTGAAGGATAGGCATCAACATTTCTTGCTAACTTTTGTTTTTACCAATTAAAACGGCATGTACATTAACAAATGCAAGCCTTACATTAATGCATTGAATACATTTCTTGGTCTGCTGCAAACTCCCAGGATATAGCCATCTCTCTGGGCTGCCAGGTTTCTGTTCTCATTGTTGCTTTATAATACAGATATTATAATTAAGAGATAGTCTTGAACTTATTTGGATATGAGAAGGGTGTTTACAGTTCCAAGATTAACTCTAAACTTCAAAAAAATCTCTATTTTAAATAAAACTTATACTGTTTCCTTTTCATTATCCGCTTTCCCTATTTACTTAACAAATTAGCTCCATGTTAATCTTATTACTTCAAAAATCACAGTTTAATTACCCAATTTCTTCTTCCAGGATCATAATCTTCATTTAGGTCAAAGGCCGCAGTACAGGTTTAATTATGAGTACAATACATCCATGATCAATTCTATCCATGGTGCGTAAAATGAATCAAAACAGCAGGCAGCATTGACCAATTTCATGTTCACTAACATCCCTAGAACTCGGCTGCACCTACATCAATAAATTATGCCTGGTACTGTGATGGTTAATTCTGAACATGTTTTACAAATTATTCACATACAGGTAGAAAAGTACTCTGTTCAAAAATAGACCTTTAGACAATTAGGCAATTTTCCCACATAAGCATTTAAAGAACAGACTTTCTGGAGGCAAATGTACCAAGGGGATCAGGAAATCCCAAGATTTGATCTGAAGTGCACTCAGTTCATCTACAACTGGGCTCATTTGTGTCTAGTGACCTCTCCTGGCAATGTATGACAAATGCATGGTTCCTATGCTATCCCATAGCACAGATCTGGTCCCTGTGGTTCCCACACGCTCAGCAGTGTCCAAGTACACGTGCACTAAATTGGTTCACTTGTGCAGGATTTAAAAACTGCTCTGGAATATGATACTACAGTGTACATTAATGGTATAAATTAAGGATGTGTCTACAGGCAGGAGCCACTCACCGAATAATGGGTTATACATGAAAAGGCGATCAATTAATTTCTTTGACAATTCTTTGCTCAAAACAGTACGAGGAGAAATTGGTGAAGGAGCCATTCAACAGAATTATTTGCTGCTTTTTAGTGGTTCTATTTATGCCTCATCATCCTCGAACAGTGCATTAATCTTCAAAGCTTGAGCTCAACTCCACTTTTCTTCCTTTACCCCATACAGGGGGTCTCTGACTTACAAATGCTTGCAATATTGTATACTTAACAAATTCAGTCCCATACAAGAACATATTATTAGTTTTAAAGAGTCGATATATGACTGTTTTCTTGTACTTGCAAACAGCTGCTTTGTATTGTTCTGCATTGTGTTCAAACTTGCGTTATGAATCAGCTTTGGAACAGACTCCCGAATGCAACCTGTTTGCAAACTGGGGACTGCATGTAAACATCAGTTTGCTTTTTCATTAAAAATCTATCTCAGGCCTGAATACAGTTAAGGTCCCAGCCCACACGGTAAGGAATTCCATAGATTCAGTACCCTCAGAAGAAATTCCTCTTCATCTCTCTTAAAACGGGCAATCCCTTACTCTGAGGTTGTGCATTTTGTCCTAAATTCTCCCAGACGGGGAAACAAGCTCTCTGCATCTACCGTGTAAAGTTCCCTAAGCATCTCGTACATTTCAATAAGGCTGCATCTCATTTTTTGAAACTCCAATGATCACAGGCACAACCTACTCAATCTCTCCTCCTAAAACAGGTCTCTATACCCAGGATCAACCCAGCGAACATTCTCTGGACTACCTCCAATGCCAGTGTATCTTTACTTAGATAAAGGAATTAAAACTATTCACAGTATTCCAGGTGTGGGCTAGCTAGTATCATGCGTAATTTTAGCAAGACGTCCCTATTTTTATACTTTATTCCCTTTGAAATAAAGGCCAACATTGCATTTCTTTTTCCTATTACCTGCTAAACTCCTATGTTAACATTTTATGACATATTTGCACGGATTCCCAAACCCAATTTACAGTTTTCTGCAGTTTATCGCCATTCAGTTCCTCTATTTTTCATGCCCATTTGGCCACCTCATATTTCTCCACATTGTATTTGTTCGGCCAAGTGGTGTAGTAGACAGTGAAGGTGGCTAAGATTATAAAGACATCTTCATCAATTGGGTCAATGGGCTGAAGTGTGACAAATTGAGTTTAATTTGGATAAATATGAGGCATTGAGTTTTGGTAAAACAAAGACAAGACTTATACAATTAAAAGTAAGGCCATGAGCAGTGCTGTAGTATAGAGACACCAAGTGGTTCAGGAACATAATCCTTTGAAGTTTGTATCACATGGGGTGGCATGGTGGCACAGTGGTTAGCACTGCTGCCTCACAGCACGAGGGACCCAGGTTCGATTCCACCCTAGGGCAACTGTCTGTGTGGAGTTTGCACATTCTCCCTGTGTCTGCGTGGGTTTCCTCCAGGTACTCTGGTTTTCTCTCACAGTCCAGAGATGTGCAGGCTAGGTGGATTGCCCATAGTGTTCAGGGATGTGTAGATTTGGTGGGTTATGGGGGATGGGTCTGGGTGGGTTGCTCTAAGGGTGGGTGTGGACTTATTGGGCTGAAGGGCCTATTTCCACACTGTTGGGATTCTATGATCTATGATATAGGCAGGGTGGTTAACAAGGTATTTAGCATGGTTGCCTTCATTGGTCAGAGTATTCAGTCTCGGAGTTGGGATGTTATGTTGAGGTTAAATGGGACATTGATGTGGCCTCTTCTAGAGTACTGTTTCCAGTTCTGGTCTCACTGTTATTGGAAGGGTATTGTTAAGCTGGAGAGGGTTCAGAAGAGATTTACCAGGTTGTTCCTGGGAATGGAGAGTTTGAGTTATAAGGAGCTGGACAGGCTGAGACTTTTTTCATCATAGGATGTTGACAGGTGATCTTATAGAGGTTTATTAAATAATGAGGGGTATAGATAAGGTGAATGGCAGGGATAACAAAGAGTGGAGCTGGAGGAACACAGCAGGCCAGGCAGCATCAGAAGAACAGCAAACCTGACGTTTCCGGTCAGGACACTTCTTCAGAAATGGGGAGACAGAAGGAAGTTCAGAAATAAATACAGAGAGGAGGGATGGGGCTGGGAAAGGTAGGCGGAATGGTGATAGGTGAGTGCATGTAGGTAGTGGTCGGCATTGGTCAGTGAGGTGGGAGGAGCGGATAGGTGGGAGAGAAGATGGACAGGCTGTGTCAGGTCAAGGAGGTGGGGATGAGGAGATTTTGAAACTGGTAAAATCCACTTTTAGGCCATGGGGCTGTAGGGTCCTGAGGTGCTGCTCCTCCAGTTTGCGGATGGTGTCATTGTGACACTGGAGGCGGCCCAGGATGGACATGTCATCCGAGGGAGTGGGAGGGGGAGTTAAAATGTTTCCCGACTGGAAGGTATTGTTGGTTGTTGTGTACACAGCGCAGTTGCTCTACAAAACGGTCTCCAAATTTCAACTTGGTCTCACCGATATAGAGGAGGCCACATCGGGTGCAGCGGTTGAAGTAGATCAAGTTGACAGATGTGCAGGTGAGCCCATGTCTGATGTCAAAGGTTTGTTTTTTTGCCTTGAATGGAGGTGAGGGCGAGGTGTAGGGGCAGGTGTAGCACTTGCTGCGGTTGCAGGGAAAGGTGATGGGGATGGTGGGGTTAGTGGGGAGTGTGGACTGGGTGAGGGAGCCACAGAGACAGCAGTCCCAACGAAAGGCAGATAGGGGCAAGGAGGGAAATACATCTTTGGTTGTGGGGTCGGATTGTAGGTGGTGGAGAATGATACGCTGGATGCGGAGGTTGGTGGGTGTGATATGTGAGGACAAGGGGGATTCTGTCTTTATTTTTGTTTTTGTTGTGGGGAGGTGATGTGAGGGCAGAGGTGTGGGAAATGCAAGAGATGCATTTGAGGGCATTTTCAATCACCATTCCCTTATCCCTGACTCCAGCATCTGCAGTTCTTGCTATCTCAGGTGAATGGCAGGTATCTTTTTCCTAGGGTGGGGATTTCAAGACTAGTGTGCACATTTTTAAGGCGACCAGAGAAAGATTTTAAAAAGACATGAGGGGCAATTTTTTTTTTTACACATAGTGGTTCATGTGTGGAATGAACTTCCAGGGGAAGTGGTGAATGTGAGAACAGTTACAACATTCAAAAGTAAATTAGATAAGTATATGAATAAGAAATGTATGGAGGGAAATGGGCCAAGCACAGGCAGGTGGGACTAGTTCAGTTTGGGATTATGTTCAGCCTGGACTTGTTGGACCGAAGGGTCTGTTTCCGTGCTGTATGACTCTAAGTTGTTGCCCGCTTGCTTAACCTGTCCAAATCCCTCTGCAGACTGTGTCATCCTCAGCTCTTTCCTTCCCACTGATTTTTGTCTCATCTGCAAACTTGACTGTACCACGTTTACTTTCCTCATGTAGTGAAATACAGCACCGAAACAGACGCTTCAACACAACTTGTCCATGCCAACCAGGTTTCCTCAACTGACTGAGTCTCATTTGCCTACATTTCACCCATGTCCCTCTAAACCTTTCCTGACCATGTACTTGTCCAATTGTCTTTTTAAACATTGTAATTGTGCTCACCTACCATGTAAATGTACTACCATTTCCTCTGGCAGTTCATTCTGCATACAAACTACCCTCTGTATGAAAAAGTTGCCCCTCAC